TTACTTTGTCTTTTTGTTGTTGTCGTTGTTGTTATTTTTGGTGTCTCCATCCTCTCTTTTATTTTGAGTTTTTGTTTTCCACATTGTCAACATCTCCCCTCACCTCTTCATCGTCATTTTCCGTTAACTTTTTTGTCTTTATTCCCTTCATCTTCTTCTTCATTACCGCATGCTTACGTTACTCTTGTAGAAATTGTAATGTGTAAAAGCTATTAGTTACTAATACTATAAATTTAGCTGCAAGCGAACACAAAAAAAAAAGACTAGGTTCTCAATTTATTACGTACCCCAAACAGGAAATCCCTGTGGGAAATCCACAGCTGACCTGACAGTCCATTATTTCAAGTGGTGCAAGTGTGCTGTTGTGTGGTGATTTTTTTGAGTGTTCATCTAGTGTCTTCTAATCCTAACCCTAACCCTAACCCTAACCCTAAACTTTACTGTAGAGAAATCTCGAGAAACTACAACCTGAACACCCTAGAATTTATTGTGAATGTCTCCCGTGACGTTGTCGTGACGTCAGGGGTAAGTTATAAATTAAGTACCAAAGACTAAACTGTATTAAGAATCTATGGTTAAGCACCAGCAAGGAAATGAAAGTTAAAATTTTGTAAGCGCCCATCTTCACTGTAGCTACTAATGGATATGACTCGTGGTCTATCTTCCAGTCTTTAAGAAAGACAATTATAACTTTTGAGCTGAAATGCTGTAGATTTTCAGAATACCATGGGCAACGAAAAAGAATACATAGTGACATTTTACAAGATCTGCAGATCAAGCAAAACTGGGTGATAAACAGTATCTTGTCTCGGAAGCTGAAATGTTTTGGACATCTCAAGCCCCACGGTGGACTGGGGAGGAGGAGGAGTGGGGAAGCAGATGACATGTTACTAGGAAAGACTCGACCAACACGAAGATGGGCACAGGATATAAATGACTCCCTGGAAATAAAAGAGCTTGAGGCGGGAAAGCTGGCCAGAAACAGTTTTTTTTTCGGACAGACTGGTGGGAGCGATATTCTGCAAATGACATGCTAAATTATAATGATATTCGGTTCTTAATTTATAACGTACCCCAAACACGAAATCCCCGTGGAAAATCCACAGCTGACCTGACAGTCCATTATTTCAAGGGGTGGAAGTGTGCTGTTGTGTGGTGCTTTTTTTGAGTGTTCATCTAGTGCCTTCTAATGCTAACCCTAACCCTAACCCTAACCCTAACCCTAAACTTGGCTGTAGATAAATCGCGAGAAACTACAACCTGAACACCCTAGAATGTATTGGGAATGTCTCCCGTGACGTTGTAGTGACGTCAGGGGTAAGTTATAAATTAAGTACCTGATATTCTGCCGACGCATATTCCTAAAAGCGAAGCGTCAAAGAGGAAAATACTAAGGGATACCCTCTCCATTGTAATCGTTACCTGCTAACGCTTACATGTGCAATGAACACGCTTCGCAACATTACTGGGCCAGTATTATTTCCAAAAATGTTTAATTGTATCCGTATTTATGCTCGGCCGAACTGGCAGCCTCGTCAGTTGTGTCTTGGTGGTAATTCGAGTATAAAAACAACCGCATTTGTCAACATGCGAGTTAGCAGTTGCACCACTGTGGATCCTCAACGATGTAAACGCAAGACATATTTAAGATCACAGTCAAAGTTGAAGTCGAGAGCATCGACCTAGTGGTATCGAGCTGTATCCCTCTTGACTCGGTCTCTTTCTGCAGAACGACTTGCTGCCTACCAAGAGTGTCGCAGAAAGTGTGAACATCGTTATCTCCAGCGACAATCCCCGTGGTTGCTGTAAATAGTGCACCCCTAAACTGAACTACACAGCCGTGAAAAGAATCCACGACCTTCAGAGCGCGAGGCAAGGGGCTTGGCCACTTCGCCAAGGAGAACCCCCGTCCTCCTCCCCCTTTCCCCCCCCCCCCCCAAGAGACAAATATTTACAGACGCACAAAGGTGTAGATTGAAAACATTTGACAGGCAAACTGTCAGAAAAAGAATTCTAAACGGCATATTTATGAATAGAACATGTTAGAAGAGCTTCATCTTTATGTGTGGAGCCTGAAATATAGTCAAAGTACAGGACCCTTATCCACGCCTTCATGTGTTTTGGGCATATAGGGCTAGACCTGTAATGTATAGACCACTGGGCACTTGATAGGTAATGTAGTCCGAATGACGCAGCAGCCTTTACTTCCCAGGACTGCACCTGGTACCCACTCAAGGCTGGCTAGACCCGGGAGCCAAGATCACTGTTGAACAAAACAAAAAGAAGTCCGGCTCTGTGAGGGCCCCGATCCACGACCTTCCGATCCGCAAGCGAGTGTCCAGCCACTACACCTCGGCGACTCCCGTGGAGCGCAAAATGGGTCTAAATATGTGACATACGGTTATGAGTTACGAGTGGGGTTGTCTTTCGGCACTCCGGGCACGTCCGTGGGTGCTCACATTTCCCTTTAACATATACATCAGCCTCTGGCGGCTAACAATGCCAGACCTATGCTGGTCGATACGACCCCTCATGCGTCTGGTGTGCATCTCGACAGAATCCTTACTCTCAAATCTCTTTTTCGTAACAGCAGCGATGATAGCGTACCTCCTCAAAATCCTCTATTTCAACCATACTCTCTCTCTCTCTCTCTCTCTCTCTCTCTCTCTCTCTCTCTCTCTCTCTCTCTCTCTCCTTCTCTCTCTCTCTCTCTCCTTCTCTCTCTATCTCTCTCTCGCTCTCTTTCAGGACAATAGCAATGTTGGCGTAATCTATAGGCGGTTTACATAAAGTAAGGTATTTGTTGGGAGCTGTTGTATTATCTCGCCAGACATTTTGCATTTTTGTCCACAGCAAGAATGTAACCGTTTTTTACTGCCCGTATTTTAGCACTTGTTAGGCCAGTGTTAGATCTCGGTTCGGTCGGACTGGAGAAAAAAAAGAGGAGGGGAGGGGGGGGGTGTTGGGGGTGGCAGGTGGGCGTCCTTTGCGTAGGGATTTAACTTCGCCTGCTACTGTAGTCCAGGTCGACCCAGTCTTTAGAGGGTACCAGGTGCAGCGCCTGGAAGTAAAGGCGGACGGCGTGGTGCTGACCACATCACCCATCCTGTGCCGATTGCTCTATTAAATATAGGTCTAGCCCTATATGCCCTATAGCCTTATGGCGTATAAAAGGGTCCTTTACTTTTTAAACTTAGTAGTGCAGTCGCCTCGAACTGTGCACGTGACGGTGTTTATTTTTGCCCCGGACAGCACATGAACCCAACGTTGCAGCCACTCGACCAGCAGCACGGCGTTAAGTTGGAGGTGGGTAACACAGCAGACATTACTGTTGCGACTGACAAAGTATAATCATACCCAGTTCTGCTGCCACGCGTGGCTCATGTAATATCACCCTGTCTCCTAGAATCCCACAGTCTGGACCAGCAAACACGCAAATTGCCGAAACTTTCTTTTCAGTATATGCAGGGCTTGTATTCCCTAGAGAAAAAAGGTGCCGGCACTCGCCACAGAATAATATAGTTTTGTCCGCTGTTACCAAGTCTTCCTCACTTTCCCATTTGTTTTACTACTACTACTACTACTACTACTACTACTACTACTACTACTACTACTACTACTACTACTACTACTACTACTACTACTACTACTACTACTACTACTAATAATACTACTACTACTACTACTACTACTACTACTACTACTACTACTACTACAGATACTGCTGCTGCAAGTGCTACTACTACAGCTGCATCTGCTGCTGCCATTGCTAGTACTATTTTGTCTATTACTACTTTTACCGCTACAACTATTACTGTCACCAATACCTCTACTACTACTACTGCCATTACTGTTATTATTACTACTACAAGTATCAATTAGTACTACTACTATTATTAATACGACTTATACTACTACTACTACTACTACTACTACTACTACTACTACTACTACTACTACTACTACTACTACTACTACTACTACTACTACTGCAGCTGCTGCTGGTGGTGCTGCTGCTGGTGCTGCTGCTACCACTACTATTACTTCTACTACTAATAATAATATTAATAATAATAAAAATAATAATAACAATAAAAATACTATTACTTCTTCTGCTACTTCTCCTACTACTTCTTCTCCTACGTCTACTATAACTGCTGCTACTACTATTACTTAAAGTACAGCTACGAAAAATTACTATCCTAGCTGCTAATGTTATAGCGATCTCACATAATTCTATTATTATTTCTACATTAACTCCTTTCCTTGCCGCACCAGCTAGCTTAGCTGATAGTAACTGCCCACAAATGCAGTGCCACAGATATTACCACAGAGACATGTAGCACCCAAACGAAACTACACTCAACTCGGCCAGTCGTGAGCTTGTTGACTTCTTTCTCATTTAAATGTAAACGTCTATACTGCGTTTAAAAACTCATGCTGTCACATTCATTCTCTCCGTTTTCTCTGTCCCTTTCTGTTTATCTCTGTCTCTCTCTCTCTCTCTCTCTCTCTCTCTCTCTCTCTCTCTCTCTCTCTCTCTCTATCTTTCTTTCTCTCTCTCTCTTTTTCTCTCTCCCTGTCTCCCTGCTAATCTATGTCTGTATGTCTCTCTATACCTCTCTCTGTATTTCCATCTGTATCTGTCTTCATGTCCGTCTCTCTGTGTGTCTTTCTGTCTCTCTGTCTCTCTATATCTCTATATGTATTTCTCTGTATCTATCGGTTTCTCTCTGTCACTCTCTCTGTGTCTTAATATATCTGCCTCTCCCCCCCTCTCTCTCTCTCTCTCTCTCTCTCTCTCTCTCTCTCTCTCTCTCTCTCTCTCTCTCTCTCTCGGTATTATCAGTGTTGGCGCAACCCATGGTAGTTGCCATCTGCAACAGTCTATATAATTCAGATATCTGCTGGACACCAGGTTGTCTGATATGCCCCTATCTCATCCTCAGACCAGGAACCTGCCGGAGAATTTCAACGAAGCCAAGTTCATCGGCTTCACCATGTACGCCACCTGCGTCATCTGGCTGGGCTTCTTTCCCATCTACTTCGCCGGGGACAACAAAGAGATCACGTTGTGTTTGTCCGTCTCCCTGAGCGCTGCCATAGCCCTGGTGCTGCTCTTTGTGCCGAAGGTCAGTTGGTGATTTTTCTGAGGTATTATGTGGACGTATTATGTTGGGGGAATTCTGCTGGGGTGTTCTGATAAGGTATTCTGTTGGGTGTATCCAGTTGGGGCATTCTGTTGGGGTATTCTGTCGGGGTACTCTGTTAAGGTATTCTGTTTGGGTATTTTCTTGGTGTATTCTTTTTTGGGTATTCTCTTAGGGTATTCTGCTGAGACATAATGTTTGAGTATTGTGTTGGGGTATTATGTTGAGGTATACTGTAAGAGTATTCTGCTGGGGTATTCTCTTAAAGTATTCTGTTAGGGTATTATGTTGGGATATTCTGTTAGGGTATTATGTTGGGGTATTCTGTTGAGACATTCTCTTTTGGCATTCCGGAAGGACATAATGTTAGGGTATTTTGTTGGAGTATTCTGTTAGGGTATTATGTTGCGGCATTATGTCCCCTCTGTCCCTCACTCTCACACCTTTCTTACAGACTTTGTCCCCTCTTTCCCTCACATATCCTCACACCTCTCTCACAGACTGTGTTGTCCTCTCTGTCTCTCACACACTTTCACACCGGTCTCACAGACTGTATTGTCCTCTTTGTCTCTCACACACTTTCACACATGTCTCACAGACTGTATTGTCCTCTCTGTCTCTCACACACTCTCACATCGGTTTCACAGACTGTATTGTCCATCTCTGCCTCTCACACACTTTCACACATGTCTCACAGACTGTATTGTCCTCTCTGTCTCTCACACACTCTCACACATGTCTCACAGACTGTATTGTCCTCTCTGTCTCTCACACACTCTCACACATGTCTCACAGACTGTATTGTCCTCTCTGCCCTCACACACTCTCACACATGTCTCACAGACTGTATTGTCCCCATATTCTCACACTTTCTCACAGACTGTTTTGTCCCCTCTGTCCCCACACACTCTCGATTCCTCTCTCAGAGACTTGTTATTTCTTCCGATACCCACACACTTTTACACCTCTCTCCCAAACAGTGTTGCCCCTGTGTCCCCCACTCACGTTTACATCTATCTCCCGAACAGTTTCCCTTCTGTCCACGCTACTCTCCCACACTCCTACAACTGTTTTAGAGATTGGTATCCCTCCCACAGGTGTACGTCATCGTCTGGGTGCCGGAGAAAAACACAAGAGGAGCTTTCACAACTTCGAAGGATGTAAGGTGCCACATCGGTTCTAAGTCAATGATTTCTGGCGACAGTATTGACATCAGGTGAGTCTACATCTGATCTATTGGGGCACTTCACTCTACTAGCCTTCCTGGGTACTTTACTCTGCTCGCCTACATGAGTACTTTACTCCCCTGCCCGTTTACCTTGCTCTTCGCCTACCTGAGAACTTTACTCGCCTTTGCTGAGACCTTTACTCTACTTGCCTACCTGAGTATTTTACTCTACTTGCAAATCTGGGTACTTAACTATACTTGCATATCTTGCCTACCTGTCTACTTTACTCTACTAATCTACAGGGGCACTTTATTTTACACGCCTACGTGTCTACTTTACTTATTTCTACTCGCCTACCTTGCTAATTTTCTCCACTCACATACCCGGGCACTTTAGTCTACTCACCTACTGGCCACTTTGCCGTACTCTACCTGGGTTTTTTACTCCGCTCACCTACTTTGGTTGTTTACTTTACTTGTCTTCATGGATACTTTACTCGCCTACTTGAGTACTTTATTCTACAAACCTACCTGGGCACTTTACTCTGCTTGTTTACCTAAGTACTTTGCTCGCCTACCTGGGTAATTTAAGCTACTTGACTTCGTGGATACTTTACTCACCTACTCAAATACCTTACTCTACTCATCTGCGTGGACACTTTACGTGTCTACCTAAGCATTTTACTCACCTATCTAGCTACTTTGATCGCCTACCTGAGTATTTATTCTACACATCTACATGAGTATGTTACTCTACTCACTGCCTGAGTACTTTACTCACCCACCTGGGTACTCAACTCCACTTTTCACCTGCCCTCATATGCACTTACCTGACGCTACCATTTTTTGTTTTACCCACCCCACCCCCTATACACTAGTAGTTTTTCTGTCTGTCTGTCTGTCTGTCTGTCTGTCTGTCTGTCTGTCTGTCTGTCTGTCTGTCTGTCTGTCTGTCTGTCTGTCTGTCTGTCTGTCTGTCTGTCTGTCTGTCTGTCTGTCTGTCTGTCTGTCTGTCTGTCTGTCTGTCTTGTATGTCTAATCTGTCTGTCTCTGCCGATCTATCTATCTATCTATCTATCTATCTATCTATCTATCTATCTATCTATCTATCTATCTATCTATCTATCTATCTATCTATCTATCTATCTATCTATCTATCTATCTATCTATCTATCTATCTCTATCTATCTATCTATCTATCTATCTATCTATCTATCTATCTATCTATCTATCTATCTATCTATCTATCTATCTATCTATCTATCTATCTATCTATCTATCTATCTATCTATCTATCTATCTATCTATCTATCTATCTATCTATCTATCTATCTATCTATCTGTCCGTTTCTATTCCTGTCTGTTTTTTAACCTACCTACCTACAAACCTGTTGTCGGTTTGTCTATTCTTTCATCCAGCTATCCATCCCTTCGTCTGCCTGACTCTTTGTTCGTCCAAAATGTATGTCAATTCTTCTGTTTTAAGGGCTATCTCTGCCAGTCCACATAACCGTGTCGTGTATCCTCCCACCTGTCTGTACACCACCACCCCCCCCCCCTCCTTTCAACCCTTTTTATGAAATCGCGTGCTGTCACGTGCCAGGTAAAACACAAGCTTGACCCAATGACTTACCTTCAACAGGGAGAGTAGCACATGCGACAGCCTGTTTAAAGCAGACAAAGGTCAAGGGAAATACTGGAGACAGAAATCTTTGGACGAGAAACGGCTTCG